ACGATGGTTTCAGATCAAGCAAATTGAGAAGTAACTTTGGCTCAAGTTAAAAATGGAACAGAAACCTAAATTTCAATTATACTTTCAAATATCTTTTTCCAACAAAACATCATTGTGTAATTTCTGTTTACGATATAAATCACCTATAAATGATATATTTTTCATTTAAATATTTTTATTTAATAATTAAATTATATTAATAAAATTAACTATAATTTGACTTTACCCAATTTAAAATGCTTTACTCAACTCAAGCAAATTAGCCTTTTGATCAAGTAAGAAGTTAAAGGGAAATATTGGGTGTCTTTCATGTTGCATAAGGTTTTGAAATTTCTCACTTCAGAAATTATATTCCTTCTTTTTTTCAAGAGTGAAAGTGACAAATTAAAGTTATCATATCTATTATAAAAAAATATTATCAAATTTCTAAATTAAAAGTTAATATTGAGAAATCAAATTAAGGCTAAAGCGAGGAATAAGTTTTGAAGCCTTAAAAAGAAAAATTCATTTGAAACTTAATCTTGATCGTAATGAAGTTATTTCTAGATTAATTTCACGTTTTTTGATTGATAGAAATAATAGACAGTATACAACTTTGGATATTTGTGATGATGAAGATATTGATTGTATGATAAGTACATTTCAACAACAATCTGGTAGAAGTGTTATAGAGTTGTATATGGATATTGCTATTGATGAGAGTTCATCAGTGTCGTCGCAAATGATGAATTTAAATTTATCAATTTCACAATAAAATAATGGGACGATTTTGAGTAATGATTACTATGAAGGTAATATAAAATACTTTATAAAATAATTTATTAATATATGTATTTGTTAGATAATAATTTATATATTTGTTGCAATAAATAAAGGAATAAGAATTGAAGTTGATGAAGATAATGAAGACTCAGATTATGATAGTTACAATGATGAAAGTGATGAATGAGAAATTTCACTAGACAGTTCTTCTTTTACTAATGTTGAAGGCGAGTTTGATTCTAACTTAGATATACAAGAAAACAGATTAGGTGAAGGTAATATGGACTATTGTTTTATTTATTTTTTTGTTTTTATTAAATATGTTGATAATAATCTTACAAATTTTGCAAATTATGATGCAGAAGATACTATAATTCCTTTTTGGAATACTACTCCACAATATAAGTATATTAATTGGGAACATGTTGATGAAGAGATGACTGAAGAAAACTCTCAAGATGTAAATTCATGGGTTGAAGGAGATCCCTTATCCGTTGGCTTGTTATTTGATGGTAAAGAAGATGTGAAAAATGCATTAAAACATTACGCAATGAAGATTCATCAAAGTTATTTTGTGACTGAGTCTAAACCAACATGTTTGTATGTGAAATGCTTGAACTATACCTTTGGTTGTCCATGGAGAGTGAGGGCTTCATTGCTGAAGAATTCAAACAAGTGGAAAATTACTAGATGGGGCAGTTCACATACATGTGTCAATCTTAAAATTTCTTAAGATCATCAAAAGTTAAATTCGGACTTGATATGTTCATGCATCGTTGGTAAGACAAATGTTTTCTATATGTTCATAATTTTATGTTTTAATATCTATATACAATTTGAATTTTTTTTAACTAGATCAATTTAATTTGATGTAGGAATGGTGAACGAAGAACCGTCGGTACATATTTCATTAATACAAGAGCGAATAAGTGCATAGTTTGGATACAAAATTTCATATAAAAAAGCTTGGAAGGCGAAGCAAAAAACGATTGTTAAAGTTTTTGGTGATTGGGATGAATCATACGGTATGTTGCCACATTGGTTAGAATACATGCAATTACATGCTCCTGGATCCGTTTATAAAATTGAAACGAAAGAGTATGTGGTTGGTCATCAAATGGATAATAGGTTTAAAGTATTTGAAAGGTTGTTTTGGTCTTTCAAACAATGTCATGAAACTTTTAAATTCTGTAAACCTATTTTACAAGTAGATGGGACATTCTTATATGGTAAGTATCGTCACACGTTGCTCATTGCAACAACTCAAGATAGAAATAATTGTGTCCTTCCAGTAGCATTTGCAATTGTTGAAAGAGAAACTTTGTCAGCTTGAAAATGGTTTTTGGCATTGATTTGTTTGCATGTTACAGATAGAACAGAAATTTGTTTAATATCAGATAGGCATCAAAATATAAAAGCGGCAGTGTCAAATCCACACATTGGGTGGCAACCTTCAAATGCATATAATGTATATTGCATTCGTCATATTGCCAGTAACTTTAATCATCGGTTTAAAAATATAGCATTGAAGAAAGATCTCATCAAATTGGGTATATATTATTTTTTTTACATATATTATGTTAATATTATTTACCAACTGAATTACACTCATCTAATGTGGTTGATTAATTGAATGTTGTATATGTAGGTTATACACCATCGAAGGTCATATTTTAGCAAAAGTTAACCACATTTCGTAATCAATCTAAAGATATACAGAGGTGGATTGATTGCATATCAAAAGAGAAATGAGCATTATCTTATGATGAGGAAGGGCGACGTTATGGACACATGACCACAAATCTTTCAGAAGCTGTGAATAAGGTATTGAAAGGTGCTAGAAATCTACCCATAACTGCACTGGTAAAAGCCATGTATAGACAGTTGGTTGACTATTTTGTTAAGCGTGGAGAAGAGGCTATGTCTGACCTTCATAATAGAAACATGTTTACTCGTAAAGTTATGATACAAATTCAAAAAAAATCAACAAGAAGTTTTATCACAAATAATTCATCGGTATGACATACAAAGAACTAGTTTTGAAGTAGAAGAAGCGTTTAATCCAATAACACAAAGGGGTGGACAGAAATTGATAGTTATATTGTGTAGAAGATTTTATGAATGTGGACGATTTCAATCATATCAAATTCCTTGCTCGCATGTGATCGCTGCATGTATAGTTATGAGTATTGATTTTTGGCAATATGTTGACCCAGTTTATTCAATGCAATATGTTGTGAATGCATATTCTCCACAGTGGAACCCACTTGGAAATGATTGCAATATCGTTACGAATAGTGGATGGAAGTTGATGCCTGATGTCGAAAGACCAAGAAGTAAGGGACGACCAAAGTCAACTCGCATTAGGAATGAAATGGACTGGGTTGAGTCACAAAGTAGGAAAATGTGTACCAAATGTAACGAAGTAGGTCATAATCGATGTCATTGTCCTCAACTTAATAATGGCGATTAAACGTTAGGCATGATTTATTGAACTTAATTTAGATTAGTAAATGTTTAGCATTTGGATATGTGTTAATGTTTATTTACCTTAATTTATTTGTCGATGTTTATTTACCAACTGCCCCCAAAGTGTGAAGGATATAAACCATAAATAAAGATATCCATACAGTGTACTATAACTAAATAAAGATATCCATAGATCACGATGCATTGCCTCAGCCTATCTTGAGCTCCTCGATGAGGGTTACGACGAACCTCTCTTACATCTGCGACATTACCAAAATCGGCGTTAAGATCAATACCTGACTCAATGGGATGCATGAATGAAGGTATAGGATCAGGCTGGATGTATGGGGCAGCAGGTGTCAAAAGGTAATGATGCTCATGAGGAGGTGTCATAAAAAAATCAGGTCGTGGGGTGTATGCTTCAGACCATGTAAATGGTGAGGTAGGAGGTTGTGGCTGCTCTTGAAAGGTACTCTGGGATGAATGGAAATAAGTGGGGCCTGCAAGCAAATGAGATGGGTGAAATGGGAACTGTGATGGGACAGGGAATACACCATCAGGGCGCTCTGGAATAGTCGAGACTGCCCACTCTGTTGCCTGCACTTGTCTTCATCGACGTGTTAAACTTCTACCCTCCCTTCGTTGTCTGGGTTGCTCAAAGTGTAAGTTTAGATCTTCAGGATTATCACTCTGGACTGGAGGATCAGAGGATGAAATTGGATCTAATATGCGATCTTGCTTCTTTTTCAGTTATAGCATTGTCTCAGATAAGTCCTTTAATTCATCAAAGGTAAATGAGTCCTGACCATCAGTGCTTAAATAGTGGACTCTCTCAAGTGCATCACCCTAAACAAACGGAAAACAATATATCAAAATTTTTTGGCATTAATTGAGGTTCACAATATTCATAATGGAATTATAACAATATACCAATAATGTTGCAACATCTGCCTCCCTGGTCATCCAACAACGAGTGTGACTAACATACCAACGCATGTACTTTGAATTTGAACTCAATAAACCATACTGCGCCTCATTAGTCATCACCCAAAGTCTTCTATTCTCCCAAATTTCTAATATAGCACTAAATTTGGCTGACTAATTTTCTCCAGTCTTTCCTCTAAATATAAGGTCATGTAGCTAGTCAGACTGGTAAGGAGGCTTAGGTATATGTTGCATTATACCAAACTGGCGCATCACTTGATCAGGTTGGTGCCATTCACATACCTGAAAACATATCAAGGGCACCACAACCCTCCATAAGTCCATGCTGTCTCTACAGATAGGTGGCAACATGCTGATGAGCTGCATGCTGTATGACACCCATACAATTTGTAAAAAAACATTCAACGACAATTAATTACAATATGGTTACACTAATAAGTGTTTAATAACTCAAGCTGAAAATTATTTATTACCTTATCACGTGTTAAACGATCTAATATATATCTGTAGGACTGGACATCCTTCTTCCCTTTCCTTGTACCATATGATAACCATCTGCAAGAGAAGTTTTAATACAAACATATATTATTGACACAACAGAGGATGAAGGGTAAACTCATAATGCAGCATACAAAATGAATTCCAACTTACCTCACACCATATGGAAGATTGACACGTGTATGAGGGGGGCTACTAGGTGCTAGATGGGAAAATCTATCCCAAGCCCACATCATAATCAATGCAGCAAGTCCTCCAATAGCAACGCGATTAATATTGGTGGTCATGCATAACTCTCAGTACAAATAACTTAGAACTGCAGATCCCTAACTATATTGACCGGTCAACTCAAAGTCATCAAGTAAAGTTAAGAACCTCATAGATACTCTGCTGCTAGAGTGATCAAGAAGCATGAATCCTCCAATCAGCCTTAATATATATGCCCTAACAAATCGAGTAATCTGTAGAGCATTCTGATTATGCATCCTAATATGATTAAAGTGCTCATCCAACCAACTCATCTTCAGAAAACTCCCTACAAAAGCATCTGGCCCTAGTCTGATACCTAGGTGGTCTTCAACAATCTGAGCCCAATCACCTCCAATAGGTGCTATAACCGATCTCCCATCTATGCGTAGCCCCAATAGGATAACAACATCCTGAAGAGTAATAGTACACTCTCTAGGGGACAAGTGGAAAGTGTGCATCTCAGGCCTCTACCTCTCAACTAATGCAGTAATAAGTCCCACGTCCAGAGGAAATTGTGATAAGTTAGCCACTCCAATAAAACTGGCTAACTCTAAATGCGGAATAATTTCCTGAGGAATACCTTTTAATCCACTAGGAATATTTTGACTCTTCCTGACCCTCAACATCGGGTGATCATGTCTATTCCAAATATGTTCAAAGACATGAAAACTCTGAAATCGAAGGAGTGATGAATCATCTGCCCCGAGATTAATAACCCTATTTTGTCCCGAATATGATGCCATCTATACAAAAAACAAAATAAAAACAACATATAAATAGAAATATCAACTTCATTCGTCAATAAAATTATTAGTATTTCATGTTTAATAAAAATATGAACCTACCCATAATTCTATATAATGCTTATTATTACGCACAAATCATTATCACATTTAACAAAATATCCTAACATAATTATATTTACATACAAATTACTAACTTAATTATAATATATTTAATTAATCTTATTTAATTATAATAATTTAATCAAACAAAATTTTTTTACATTTAAAAATTAAATTAAATTTTTTACATAATACAATAATTTTTTTACATACAAATTACTAATAGTGTTTTACGTTCAAATTACTAATTACTAATAATACATAATAATGAATTTATCTTATATTATAATAATAATACATAATAATAATAATAATATTACAAATTACTAATTACTAATTACTAATAATAGTACATAATAATAATAATTAAATTTAATAGTATTTTACCTACAAATCACATTCACATACATAATACAATATATTCACATACAAATTACTAATACATACAAATATTTAATTAATCTTAGTTTTTTACATACAAATTACTAACATATTTATAATAATAAATTTATCTTTATTAATTTTAATAACATAATAAAATAATATCTACTTAATTTTTACATACAAATTTTTAATCCATTTTAAAAAAATACAAACTATTTACATATTTACAATACATAAATTTACAAAATTTATAATCGTCCTATCATAATTGAAATTTATTTACATATACAAAATATTTTATACAATTAAACCAAATATTTCTTATTATTATTATTAAATTATTTTATTTAACTATTTTTGTATTATTCTCTAAATAAATATATAACAAATATATTATACAACATCATATTACTAATATTATACAAACATATAATTAACAAATATCATTATATTATTCTTTGTCTACAAATTTTTTTTAATAATTTAACATAATCAATCAAATTTTATTTTTTAATCTATTAATCTAAACATCAATTAATGAAATAAAATTTAAAATTAACTAAAACAATTTTACTAACCTCTAATTCTTCTAATTCTCTCTAAATTGTGTTTACCTGCAAAACAAAAAATGTTTTTTTCAATATTTTAAAATAATAAACAGAATATAAATTTACATATAAATATAAATAATATCATTATCTTAAATAAAAATTTAAAAACTGTAAAATTTTACCGAAAATTTTTCACGCAAGCTTTCAGAAATGGAAGAACGAAAGGAGAAGCAAAGGGGCAGAAACGGTTACTGTGCCGCCTACCACGTGTCAGCCTCCCATTAGTTTCGCCAACAAAATTGGTGAAACACTCTTTTACCACTGATAGTGCACAACAAGTAAGATGTTGCAACCTATCTTCACCACTCTCCAGCCGTTCATTTTAAATTTTTAAAATTTTTATTTTATTTAATTTTGTAGCTTTCACATTTTTTGTGACGAAATAAATCAGTCATATCCACGTGTCATTTTCCCATTAGTTTCGTGGCGGTAGTGGCGAAACTGCTCATTAATTTCACCAATTATATAATAAAATCGTTGATTCGTTGACACGTGCTTCAATATAATGTATTTCACGTTAACAAAAATTATTATTAAAAAAATTCAGAAATTAAATTTTCATCATTTAGTGCGGAAAAATTACTAGTTAACGTGACAAATTTACTCCAAACAAAGAATTAGTTTGAAAAAAATAATAATTTAAGAAATAATTTTTTAATTTATAATATTTAAATAAAAAAAGCCATCAGTTATCACCGAAAGGGAAGCCTAGCGAAATAAAAAAAGAAGCTGCCTACGCTAGCTTGCGCGTGTTACTATAAAAGGTAAAATTATATATTAAAATAGTTTTAAAGTATCTTAAACACTGAACCTATATAAGAATGAATACCTCTTTTTTATTATTATTTTGGGCTGATATTGATTAAAATAATTTAGGCTTAATTTTACTTTTGTTACATATTTTTTAATAATAAAAAATGAACTTACTTACACTAGTTATATGATTTAGTTCTTAAGTTTTACTCTCTTAAAATATTCGATTTTCATGTATAATATTATTTAATTTAAAAAATTCAATATATAATTTATTTAATTTGAAAGAAAAAGATATAGGCAGCAAGTACTTGATTCACCTCAAGAATTTCTCTATTGATTAAAGAAATGTAATATATATATATATATATATATATATATATATATATATATATCCACAAAAAATTGACTAAGATTGATTCACAAATAAAAAATAAGTTTTTTCTTTTTAAAAAGAGAATTTTAAAAAAAAAATGCAAACAAATATGTTTTTACTTTTTAAAATTATTTTACCTTGATATGTTTATTTATGATAAGTTAAGGTAGAGTATTAAAATATATATATATATATATATACATTATAAAATCATACAAAAATGCTTCCCAATAATGAAAATAATGCATGAATTATATATATATATTTTGCTGTAATGATTTTATTTGTTACCCACATTTTAGTTAATTATATTTTAAATTAACATTTTAAATATTTGTGATAGTTACTTCAAATTTTTTTTTATAGATTGGATATCCTTCAAGTTCAATGAACTCTTGCATGAAGACTTTTGAAATACTCTTCTACCATTTTGTTTAACACTGTCTACATTTTGTTTTATTTTTTTTATTGTTATTTTTATAACACTAATATACAATTAACGTTTTTTTTTTCTTTATCCTTACTTTCAACTAATAAATAAGTGAGACATTATTTTTTAATAATAAAAAGACTAATGGAAAGTTAATAATATATTTTATAAAATTTAAATTACTAATTACTCTCTTAATTTTTACAGAACACATTAAACGACAAATAAAAAGAGAGAAGAGAACAGTATATTAATGACTCTAACGCGAAATCTGCATTGTGAGTTGTAGCGCAGAACCAAGAACAGGGGAAACTGAAGCTTTAACGTTCATCTCGGGAAAAAAATCCGTCCCCACTTCAAATGAACCGTAGTCATCTAAGGAAAACAATTTTTCTTGTAATATATGAAATGATGAACAATATAATAAAAAATACAGAGAATTAAGATGAGTAAATGAATATATTATTAACAAATTACATCTAATTTACTCTCAAAAATTAAATAATAATAATAATATATAAGATGAGTAAATGAATTAATCTGCAGTGACGTGAAACATTTAACATATACAGGGTATGATGGAGGTGGAGCTACAGAGAGTATGAAGAAACCATGAAACTCAGAATAGACAGCGCCAGAGAACTAAAAGGGCATGTGAAGAGCAAAGCAAGAGAAAGAGTGTTCATGGCGCTATCCCTCCTGAGCTTTACAGATTCTTCAATACTAAAAACAGAGGAAGCAATTGAAGAGAAAATTTAGTGTTTTGGAGATAATAACCTTTTCAGAAAAGGTAGCGAACTATCCTTAAATGCTTCTTACACATGATAGAGAGGGACCAAGCAGAGGTATTTATAGAGAAAGAGATTCATATAATTATTAATTAAGAGTGTGAAAAAATGAGATTCATATAATTATTTAATTATCACAACTTGGAGATCCTAATTTAAGATAAAGAGTTAACAAAGCATCTTGCCTAAATTACTCTTTTTTTTTTTTTTGTGAAATAAAACATTTACGAATTAAAAAAAATTGTTTGAGAAAATCAAGATCACAAAATTGTTACAACTCAAGAAGTGTTTCAAATGGAAACATAAGATTAGCAAAACAACGTACTTATATTACTCCGTTTTATGTGAAATATATTAGAAAAAGAACAAATAGATATTAAAAATGTTTCTTGATTTTATTCATTATTGTTTTAGAAAAACTATTAAGCTACAAATACAAATTTAAAATGGATGTATATATAAATTAAAACATAAATAATGTTTATAATAATAATAATAACAACAATGATAATATTACTAAAAATATTAACAATAATAATATTAAAATTGCAAAAAAAGAAATGGAAAGGCCGAAATGATGCAGGCCTAAACTCTTAACAATAAAACTCAAAACACTGCTGGGTCAAATTCAAGAGAAATTAGAGAAAGACCGAAACAATTTTTTAGCCCAAACCATTAACCCATTGATGGCTATATTTGCCCTTGTTTCTTTTACATCACTTAAATTCAAATGAAACAAAAACAAATAAGAGAAGCCCTGGATCAGCAAACATTATTGAAAGCAAATTCCATTGGCATGATATCCAACAGCTTGTAATTGGATGGAAGAAATTAAAACATGGGAAAATCAAAGCTAATATTGATGCATTAGTGAAGGAGAGAATTATGGAGTAAGCTTTGGGATGAGGAAACAACTAAGTTTGAACCTGTTCATAAGGGAGAATAGCCATAGAAAAATCTTTGGATTTGAGATGGGTAGTACAACTTGCTTCTAACCTCCCTTTCCACAAAGTTGAATTTGAGACCAATTGTTTACAATTGGTACATGCTTGGAATCCTCTAGAATAGGAAACACACTAATCAACATGTATAAGCTTATCAATACATTTTTTTTAGTCTAAATTAGTTAAATAATAAATTAAACTTTTCTAACAAACTTATTTTTTAGGTTTTTTTACATAAATGCAGCTTTTTTAACATTAAATTACATATATGCCTCTTTTTTTTTTCCTTTACATAAATGTCCTAAAACATATACAGAAGTTGATTACACACGACTTCTACATTCCATTTTTCCCTTTGAAGAAGTCACTTCAATCGACTTCCATTCTTCAAAGAAGTCGACTTTAATTGACTTTGCGTTGGATCTAAACAAGTCGATTGTAATTGACTTTCATACTACAAGAAAAACGGCTAAAATTGACTTTTCTTAACGTTATTAGAGACGATTTTAAATGACTATCATATACCTCAAGACTAGAAAGAAACAAGAAGAGAGTGAATTGAATAGAAAGAGAACCGAGACTAGAGAGAGAAAGGAGGTCTGAGAGAGTGATCAGAGAACAGCGAAAATAGTAAAGACAACATAGACGACAAAAAATGGATAATAATTTATATCAACTTAATTTTATTGATCATATTACAAACAAGCTGTTAACACAGGTAAATTAATTTTTAAATATATTTAATTAATTTATAATTAATTATTTTTGTATTTAATTTAATGTATTATTGATTCTGTAATTATATGTAGAAATATGTGCAAATATTAATACTTATTATCTTTTAAATTAATTATAATTGTTTGTTATAATTATTATATTGAGAAATGTAAATAAAATTCTGATATATATTTATAATTATTATGATAATTTAGTTTTGTATTATAGTAATTTATAATTATAATAATTTTGATATAATGTTTTTATTTAAATCTTGTATATATTATTTTGTTATTGTACAAGAAGCTCAAATTTTAAAAAGTAGGTGTTATAATATGATGGTTCCTCTAGATTCAAGAATGGAACCATTTCTTAGGCAGACTGATTTTTGGCATGTTGCACTGATAGTTTCAGTATTTGATTATGATAGGACACTCATAAGTGCACTTGTAGAACGTTGGAGGCTTGAGACACATACATCTTATTTTTCATATAGAGAATGTACGATCACTTTGGAGGATGTTGTGTTTCAGTTAGGCTTACATGTGGATAAAATCCCTATGAGTGGTTGCATTGGAGCGTGGGAGAAATTTTATGATCAAAATATATGGGCATTGTGTGAAGATTTACTTGGAGTAGTTCCTGATGAGAGTAACATCAAAGAATTTTTTGTAAATTTATAGTGATTTATAGATACATTTGAACCTCACAATGCTGATGGGCAGACTATTATCCGTTACACTAGAGCGTACATAATGATGATATTTGGTAGCGTATTATTTCCAGATAAATCAGGATTTAGGGTTCATATGAAGTGACTATCTCTTTTAACTGATTTTACTAAGATTCTAAACTATAGTTGAGGTTTTGCTGTTCTAGCATCCCTTTATCGTGAGTTTGTCGTGCGGTGAAATACAATGTCACCGAGATTACATGTTGTTTGTCTCTTCTACAGTCTTGGGCATGGTATAGAATACCTCAGTTAGCCCCTAGGCACCATCATCTTCTCATTTTTCCACTAGCATTGAGGTACAAATTAATTTTACTAATATATTATTATTTTTTATTTATATATGTTAATTTTGCAAGTAAAAACTAATTATGCCCATTTCAGGTGAAAAAGTTATAGGTCATCGACGAGATCAAATATGGATAAATTATTGCGATATAGGAGGATCATTGATTCAATTGGCATTACTAGGATAAGTTCAAATAGGGTGTATGTTACTAAATTATTTTGTTTTAAATAATTATATTTTTGTCTAATATTTGTTATTTATTATTTCAGTTTAGGTGGACGCCCTATAACAACAATGAGGTGAGGAATATTACACCTCCTTTCGTGTATGATGAGGCTGATGTTTGAGCATCTGTGACTGCTCTTAAATAGTTTACTGTGATTGAGTGGCACCCTTTTGATCACGTAGTTCGATAATTTGGTGGATCACAACACATACCAATCAGCTTGATAAATATTGATTGGTTGCACGCTAAAGATGGGAGGGGTGATCTAGATATATGGTGGCCTAGTTATCATGTGACATGACATGTTGTATGGGAGGCACATAGGGACCGACAAATTCCATATCCTCTAGCTGATGATGATCGCCCCTCTGTCGAGTACTTTCAGTAGTACTTGTCAGTTGCTAATAGATTTTTGTTGTTGGATGGAAGCCCATAGGATGCAGAGCTTAGGGACTTACCTGATGGTGTACCACTACATACTCCCCCAGCATCTAACATAACACACCGATGACGTTCCAGATAGATGCTCTTTCATGCGTCATTTGCGTGTAGGTACAAGTGCGAGTAGACGTTAGTACCGTGATGAGACGCATATACCAGCCGACCTCCCAACACACGATGTAGAACCTGATGCAAATTCAACTGTACAACATACCTCACACTACGTATACCACCTAATACCTACATACCTCTGCCATTACTTCATGTCAGGACCTAACCAACAGCTGTACATAGCTGGTCCTTCTCAGCACCGGTTCATGTTGGCCCTAGCCAACCATGTATGACCCCTAGCCAACATTTTATGGTAGGCCCTAGTCATCAGTTCATGTCAGATTCTGAGGTTACTCCCAGTCCTATGCAATATTTTGTCATAGGTCTAGCTTAAGATGATATTGCACGACATATATTTTTCAGCCCATCTTTCATGTTAGATGCTGAAGTTATGACTTGGCTAAATTTGACCGGTACAAGCAGATTTGTGCCACCACCAGATAATCTATATTGACTATCATCAACACATATCCAAACTCCCTCCTTTAATGGTTCACCGGAGGAGGAGGAGCATCACACACCTATCCAACAGCAGGAAGCGGATGATCAGAACATGTATGACCAAAGTCAGCAGGAAGAGGTGCACACCGCAAACTTATACGACAGATTGTATATTGTCATTGTGCAGCAGGGAGTCACCTTGCTGACCTTAGACACAACAGGCGTGACTTATAGTCACATATGTTGCATGGTGATCTACATATTTTGTGGACTATGTACTTTGGAATTTAAATTATATATCCTTTAAAATATTATTTTTACGTTGATATTATTTAATAATTTATAAAATTATTATACAAAAATATTAACAAATTTAATTAAAATTATATATTTTTAATTTGGGTAAGGATTCCAAATAAATTATAAAATATTAACAAATTTAATTAAAATATTTTTTTTTAATTTGAGTAAGAATTCTAAATAAATTATATGGGCAGAGTATGCGTAACACGTGAAAAATGCATTGCAAAAGTTGATTATAATAGACTCTTCTTTAACACATAAGTCGATTATAATCAGTTTTCTCATTGCATTGCAAAAGATGATTATAATCGATTTCTGTATTCGTATGTAAAATCTATTTTAATCGATTTCTATGCAATTCAATTCATGACATTTATGTAAAAAAAATTTTTTGAGACATATACATAATTTAATATTTAAAATATTTTATTTTTGTAAATTCTCCTACTTTTTAAATGTAATTATTCATATTTAATATCATAAATAGTTAATAATATCTACAAATATATCATTGTTATCTAAATATAAAAAAGAATATTATTTAATTGACATAATCTATTTATGTAATAATAAACTATATGGTTGGTCTTTTTTTTCCATGTTAAACATACAAGTAATATGTCACTTTATAAAATTCAATTTCATTTGTTTAATATCTACATAAACTTTTTAAAAACAAATATCTTAGATTTATCTTATTGAATATGATCATGTATTTCAACCTTATTATTATGATCTCAATAGATATTATTCATGTAATGTGATTATTTGATCCACAATGACTTTGGTTTAAAATAAAGAACGTAATTCTTACGGGCAGTGTTTTTTTTTTTTTTAAATATTTATCAATTACCAACAAGTTAAAGGAGGCTAGATATCACAAGTATTTCAATAATCGCAATAAAACCATAATTAGATAAACTTGTAGATAAGTTATTGTAAAAAGAAAAAAATAAAATTTCTTTTAAACGTTAAAATTAACTTATATATTTTTATTTTTTAAAAGTTACTCTCATTTTATTTCTCAAAAATCTGAAAAAATAAGTTATTTTTAATTTATATAAAATTTTTATTATTTTTTATACTATTTTTCTTATCTTATAAAAATTTATCCACAAATTCACCCAAATATATATACTAAATATTGAATAAGAGGTCAAACATGTATTCTTATTACTAAACACAATTTAACAATCCTTCAAGCACTAAATATAATAATATTAAAAATTAATCTCCTACTTTTCAGCAATACAAACATAACCATAAGAATCAAGATTTCAACTTCTCTTCTCTTTTAACTTTTATTTATCCTTTCAGATTAAGTAATTATAATGATTTTCCTTTTTCTTTCTCCTTCTAAATTAGCTTAAGATGACTTAAATAGATTTGAATCTAAGAAAGAAAGGAAACCAAAACATAGTAAAAAAAAAAAGATAAAATAAAATAAATAATAAAAAAAAGAGATAAACGTGTAGAAAAAAAATGAAGGAAAAAAGCTATCAATAAAGAGTAAAAAACACACCATACATGACTAAAAATAACTTTAAAAAAAAAGAGAAAAAAATATTTAAAAAAAATACTTACTACACTGCCTTTATATTATGCAATAATGAGAAGAAGCCACGTAGTAACAGTTGAATATAAATATTTAAATTTGAATGTTTAGATAACAATTTTAAAAAATTAATTCAAGTTAAACTTATTTTTTGTCTTTCAATATCGAAGATTGAGTATGTCGTGTGCAATCTCAGAGTTGTCAATTCAAGGATTTTGCACAAAGAAACGGAGTAAAAAGCTTGAAGCTACATTTTCTTCTTCTGTTAACCTTAGCTCATCTCCCATGGGTGGGTACCGTAGAAAGTTTAAAACATTGCTTTGATAGCAATCACCATCATGTACATTGAAGATAGAAAGAGACAGAACCAGTGTAATATAATATAAGTTGCAGATGGAGAAAGAAGAAGAACAATAATGTGCAGTGTCAATAAGTAACTTCAAAATAAACACGTCTTTCAGAGGGGTTTTCTGCAACTCCCAACTATTTAATAATAAAAAATTTAAATATCTTTAACCCCCACATGACTCTTGCTGGGAGAAGAGAGAAAACCGCTGTTTCTACGGGTAGTGTGAAGGAAGCTTGCGCTTTGTTTTGTTGTGATCTGTTCAATCTCCTTTAGCGGGACTGTTTTGGATTTTTCTATGGTTACATGGTAAGCGTGATCAGAATGAATAATAATCCAATGACAGTGGCTAGCACATGAAATGCACGCAAGTCTCCTCAACACTCCATCTTTGTTCAGCAATTAAACGCAATCCAAATAGGATTTTTGAAGTTCTCTAAAACTGTATTACCCACGAATTACAGCGTTTAGGCCTCCCTGCTCTATGTATCCTAATTTTTTGCTCAACTCCTCTGTTTATTTTACCTTTCTTTCCCCTTTTGCTCTGTTTTTTCTTCTTTGGACTTGTATCACTCTCATCTACTCTATATTTTTGCTCAATTTTGGGTTCCAACAGGTGCAACTTTTGCTTGCCTCAATCAGGCTACTTATTATTATTATTTTAATGTTTTTTGTTTTCATACTTTTAGTTTTTAAAATTTTTTATTTAATTTAATTATTTTATGAATTAAAAGAAAACTTAAATTTAAAGAAAGTTAAAGGAAGATAAATAAAATATAATAATAGAGTAAAATAAAATAAAGGATAAATTTACAAAGTAGAAAATAAAATAGCAGAAGAAATCCAAATTGAAATTATATATTTGTAGTTATTTACGACCAGACTACTAGACCTTGAGTCAAAATCAAGATAGAAGGGTATAATATAATAAAATAAAATAAGATAAAATAAAAAAATCTACAAAGAAAGAAATGTCAAAATCTAGTGTTCACAATGACATTTTGATATGATAAACTCATGAACCTTGTATAAAAAGTTTTTACTGGATAAGTAAAGACCAATTAAACTTAGGAATTATTTTTTAGGAAAAAATGTGAAATAATATATTTTTTAAATTTTGTTTTAAGTTTAAATTTTTTTATTTATAAATTCAATATTTCAAGATTTACTTTGACTTTGAATGTTATGTTTCACTTGTTAATTTATACA